TATTTTATTCTACATTTTATGTCAGTCAAATTGAACTAATGAGTGTTTTAAACATACAGATGGACGTCTGTTGTTTCCTAACAGAAAATAAGCAAACAGGATTTTCCTGTTTATGATGGGATGTGAGGATGTTGCTGAGCTCACAAAATAAATACAACCCTAAAGATTCATAACAACCTCTTGGTGCCTGCAGTAGGAAAAGGATTTCCATAAGAATAAATAACCATGGGAAGGTTGGAGCTGATGACTTTTTATCTGTTCGTTTTGCTGATTCATTATTTTACTTTGCTCAACGTGTCTTTTTGTTTGTTTGTTTGTTTGTTTGTTTGTGCAGCATTTCCACACATGCGGTGTTAAAGCAATGAGAGAACAGCTGGCTTCTTATTTTAAAAAGAGCAAACGTGTTTGTGACTGTGTCGTAGAATCGACACCATCATAAAATTCACAGGACAGTAAATAAATACGATACGACTGCAGCTGTTAGTAAGATTAAACAGCCTTTCAGGCGTGGGCCTGAAGGTTGAGCTTCACTGTTCCGATGTCAACATCTGTTTATCTGAATAACACCATTTTATCGTCATGTTGTAACTTTTATATTTACACGTTTGGTTTTAACTGCTTTTGTGTGCATACTTTGTATTTTTTGTGCATTATTTTCACATTTCAAATAAACACATCTTGAATTAATTATCTACAAACTACAAATGATTTTAGATGAAAAGCTAAAATGTCTGTGAGCAAAAACAGCTTCTGTTAAAAACATTGTTCATGGCAGACTCTTAAAAACACCCAAACAACAAAGGCTCTGTGGATCCCAGCTGACGTTCTCGAGCTTCTGTGGGGATTCTACATAACAAACCTTTCCTTTGTCCAGCGGTTGACTGAATTTAGGACTAATTAGACGGTTCCTCGATGCTAAACTTACACATTTAAAAGAGCTAAAGCGGTGATCCCGTTGAGCATCTTGGTGCCCAACAGTAGTTCTTGTTTGCGCTGAAGCAGAATGCATGGATGAAGCTCCCTGCTGCTTCCACATCTGGTATAAATGATTTTCTTTATCTTTAATCCTCTCCTGTTTCCCCACTTTGATCTGTCAGAATAAGAG